TAGCGCCGGCCTTAGCGGCAAGCCTCCACTTTTTGATCAATAAGGTTTTCTTGAAAATTTAAACTTAATTTAACATCTCCTACATCTTTCTCGAGTATTTTATTTTACTTATGTTTTCATTTAGAATGTTTTCAATTTTATCCAGTCGCTTGTTAATTATTTTTGTTTTTTTTTTTTTTTTCATATATTTTTTACAACTACATAGCTTTAACAATACATACTTTTATTACAAATAGTTTTAACAATATATACTTTTATTACAAATACAGTCAAAATGCTTTGAAAATAACTGAAATAATACTAAGATATATTTGATGTACAAAGTAATAAAATAATGTAAAATAGTTTTTTAGTTTATATTTTGAAAAGACAAAAGAAGTCTTAAAAAGGGAAAAATTAAACCTTTAGTTATGTAGTCAAGGGAAACTCGCTGAAAACTGTGTAAAGTCTTGTCATCTTGTCACCCTTTTTTTAAACAACTTCATGAGATACTCATAACTATTTTATTCATTACTTATTACATTTTTCAATATAATTAGTCGTGTTTTTAGAAAGGAGCATAACATAAACATAACATATATACATATATATATATATATATATATATATATATATATATATATATATATATATATATATATATATATATATATCACATATGCATACATACACATATACATAAATACACACATATACTTATATATATATATATATATATATATATATATATATATATATATATATATATATATATATATATATATATATATATATATATATATATATACACATACATACATATACACATATACACATATACACATACACATATATATATATATATATATATATATATATATATATATATATATATATATACATACATACACACACATACATACATATATATATATATATACATACACACATACACACACATACATAAATAAACATACACATACATACATACACACATACACACACATACATAAATAAACATACACATACATACATACACACATATACTCATACACATACACACATATGCACACATACATAAACATGCACATACACATACACATGTATATATGTATATTCATACTTTTTTTTTTATTATTATTATTATTATTTTTTTTTTTTTTTTGTACATGATTTTGATATTTTAATTACTCATAAGTTATTAGAAAATTTCCATATAACTGCTTGTATTTAAAACAATTTTTTTAAGATAAGATTTTAAGGAATTTATATTTTTCAGGAGAGATATTGAAGAATTTTTTGGTATTAATTTGTTATACAAGTAAGGACCACGATATGATATTGAGAATTAAGACTTTTTAGGGGGTACTATATAGTTTCCAGTTGCTCTAGTGCTAAAGTTGTTTGTATTAGTTTTAAAAAAGTTATTCATAAATCGATTTGGAATAGTTCCCATTTTATGTTTGAACATAAACAAAATATTTTGATATATATTAATTTGGTAAATGTTTAAAGCATTCATCTGTTTTAGTAATGGGTTTGCGTGAGTAAGTTTGTTTTTATAAAAAATAATTCTTGAGGCGAGTTTCTGTCGTCTATAGAGTGAACTTAATTTAGTTTTATGGGTACTTGCCCATGCAATATTGGTATATGATAGATAGCTGTGTATAAAGGAAAAATAAAGAAGTTTTAAATTTTCGAACGCTAAATAATTTCTTGCTTTATAGAGTAGACCAATATTTTTTGAGACATTAATGTGAGAGTTCCAAGATAATTTCTCGTCAAGAAGCACACCAAGAAATTTAGATGATTGAGTTCGTTCAATAATTGTGTTGTCTATACTAAGAGTTGGTAAAATTGATGGGATAGCCTTTTTTTTTTGGTTGGGGTGAAATAAAATGTATTTAGTTTTGTTTAAGTTTAATGAAAATTTGTTAGCTCTGAACCATGTGTTAAGTTTAATAAGTTCTAAGTTTGCAGTTATAAAGAGGTCACTGATTGAGCTAGAAGAATAAAACAGATTAGTGTCGTCTGCAAAAATTATGCAATCTAACTTAGATGAGACTTTAGAGAGGTCGTTGACATAAATTAAAAATAGAAGAGGAGCTAGAATAGAGCATTGAGGAACCCCAAATTTGATTTTTAGTTGTTTCGAGTTGTTATAGTGATCTATGGTAACACATTGTTGTCTGTTGTCTAGGTAGTTGGCGAACCATTTTATAGTTTGATTTTTTATGCCATATTTTTCCATTTTTCTTAGTAGTATTGTGTGGTCTACTGTGTCAAACGCCTTTGTAAGGTCAATAAAGACTCCTAATACAAATTTTCTGTCATTAAAGGAAGTTGTAATGTTATTAATGAGATCTAGGATAGCATGTTCTGTTGAATGTTGCGTTTGAAACCCGTATTGATTTTCACTTAAGATTTTGTGTTCTATTAAATATTTATACAGTCTGTTGTAAATTATTCTTTCAAGGAGTTTAGAAAATATAGGAAGAATTGAGATTGATCTATAATTGCTAATTGCAGATGTATCTCCACCTTTAAATATAGGTACAATTTTTGCTATATATAATTTGTCTGGGACAATTCCGTTTTTGATTGAAGAGCTGAAGATATTAAAAATAGGCTTTCTTATTACAGAAAAAATATAAAGCACAACATTGCCAGAGATGCCATCAACTTCTGGGGCCTTATTCTTTTTAATTGATTTGATTGCTGTTTCTAGTTCATCAAAAGTTAAATTACTATCTGGCAATGAGCTTTCAAAATCGCAAAAATAATTTTGAAACGATGTTTCTGAGCCTTTTATTTTTGATGCCAGGTTTAGACCAGTGTTTACAAAAAAATGATTAAATATTTCTGATATATCTTTTTTTGTTTTTGTATTCAATATCGTTTTCCGTTGTTCTGGATTGTAAAATGTCAGATACTATTTTATTTTTATCAATGATTTCTTTTATAACTTCCCACGTTTTCTTTATGTTACCATTATTATTTTTTAATTGTTGAGAATAATATCTTTTTTTAGATTTATTTTTTATTTTTTCAAACAGATTTTTATATTTTTTATAGGCATTAAGATTAGCTTCGTTTCTGTTTTTTAAATATTTGATGTATAATTTTTGCTTTTTTTTTGAAGATTTTCTTATTCCGCGTGTAATCCAAGGACATTTTAAATATTTTGATGGATACTTCCGCTTATAATATCTAAAACGTTTTTTTCTTGTTGTTTGAGTAATGCTTCCGTTTAATTTTTCATATCTTTCTTGAATTCCATGAACATTTCTTGAATTCCATGATCATAGTTCTTAATTTTATTATTAATATTATTTATTTTATTATTATATGTCCGTATTGTTTTAAATTAGCTTAACTATTATTATAGGTAGAAAAAATAAACAAGTCTCGGTTGCTCAACTTAGGAAACAAATAATGATGGAAACTTCCTGATAAATATAAGCCAGAATGGTTACAACCAACTGAAAGCGCAATCAAGAATTATTGTTTTTAAAAGTATTTACAAATTCAGCAATGGTTGGGTGTTAATATGAATGAAATAAAGTGGGACAAGGTACGTACACAGGAACTGCAAAATAAACCACAAATATTGATTTTAATTTCAAAATAAGTTTCTTAAAATCACAAATTTTTCAATAAACAGCTCAAGTTTACCCAGCAACCAAAAAAATTCTTAACTAATTTTTCGGTTTTAGTATTTTTTATTCAGGATCACCAATTCGCATTCTTAACATCACAAGATGTAACTGCCACACAAATACTAAAACACCATGTGGAAAACAATGTCATGTAATAAATTGCATGACAGCCTGTGGACTGTGTCAAGGCTAGGAATGCCTGAATGCATCAAAAAATAACAATTTCAATATTGATGAATACGAAAATCAATATGAAAGTAGTGAAGATGGAGACGGGAACATTTTTGAAAAATACTTGACTTTAGATTTTATTTCTAATTATATTAGTTGAATGTAAAAAGTTTTAATATAAAAGAATATATTTCAAAAATGTTTTTTTTAGGTAGCTATCCTAATAAATAAGTTAAGCAGCCGTGGCGCAGTGGTTAGAGTTCTGGCTCAGAGCCAGAGGTCCGAGTTTCAACCCCGGCTCTAGCTCGAAAAGCGACATTGGTACGGAAGGAGGCGTGAATTTCTAATTAAATGCCGCGGTGCTCTGTGATAAGACCGTAAGGACTTCTGAGAACACCTAAATAAAAAGAAAAAAAAAAAAAAAGAAATGAGTTCAGTCTAAAGTTCAACAGTTTTTTGAGAAAAGGTCAATATTAGCCTAAATAAAAAAATATCGCAGAGAACTGCTGACATCAGCATTTAAAAAATTCTTTTAGCGCATTTTTTTAAAAAATTATTTACACATTTGGCTATATCTACGCAAAATTTCATAAAGACTATGTAATTTTACAATGAGTTGTTACAATTTATTGACAACAAAAAGTTACGTTTTTTTTTCTAATTTCGAGAAAATTTTTTAAAAAATGAGATAAACTAAAATAATCAACATTTTTTTGGATATGTTAAAGTAGATAAAATTCCGGTTCAAACGATACCAAATTTTGTTCAGGTGAAATTCTAGTTTGACTAGTTTTTTATTTACCTTCATACACTGCAGCATCATATACTTTTTTACACAATATGTTATATATCATATGCAGTTTCTATAAAAAGATTATCTGATGATATTTGAACCAGTCTTTTAAAGTAAAGTTTTTAATTCTCTTCTTAGACATAGTAGGTCAATTTTTGAATCTTATAAGTTACAATAAACAAGTTATAACAACCAGTTGAATTTTTATTTAGAAATAATTTTAACTAATCAACTTCATTATATACCTGTGGCAATTATCATATACATGCTTGCAAAACTTGATTTTTTGTCTAAACTTTCTGCCTTAACTTTAAAAACTAAAAATTTTAAACTACTCAAATGGTTGAGTTATATTTAAAGACTTGTAAAACATAAATATAACAGCATTGATTTAAGGTAATTTTAATCTTTTATGGAGTTATTACAATACATTTAATTTTATCTCCAGTGTTTCTAATAATAAATTTTACCTTAGGAAAATTAAACTTTACTAAAAAATAATTTTTCCGTATTTCTAAAAACATTGTCAGCCAATTCACGTGGATCTTCTCCCCGAACAGCAGCAAGAATTTCAATTATTTGAATAAGATGACAAGGTTCATTGCGTGATTTTACGCAATATCCTTTTTCCCATCGTTCTTTTTTTTTTGTTGGAAATTTAGTTTTAATAAATTTAAAACCAGCATGAGTGTTCTTAATCTCGCACCAAGGAGCGTCAGTCTCCACCAATAAAAACTCAGCAGGTATTGTTTTAACTGCTTCTATGTTATCCAATGTTTTTAAAGAACAGCCGGTTATTCCAACATATAAACCCATATCCGTTAGTGCTCTAGCTTCTTCAACGGATCCTGTAAAACAATGTGCAACGCCACCGACGATCCTATCTCGATACTTTTTTAATATGTCTATAAAATCTTGAGACGCATTTCGCATGTGAAAAAACATAGGTAGATTTGTTTCAATTGCTAAATCGAATTGTTTTTCAAAAAATAACTTTTGAGTTTCTCTGCTACAAAAATGTTCTCTGTCGTAATCTAAACCACATTCACCGATGGCAACGACTTTATCTTGATTATTGAGAGCTATGTCTAGAAGTTGTTTGTAATAATCATCAGGGTTTTCTTTAAACTCGTTACAGCGTGTTGGATGACATCCTACCGTGCAGAACAAATTCGTTGTAGATTTACACAAATCAAGAGCAGGATTAACATCTTCAAGATGACCTACGGTTATAATTGATCTGTTTACGCCATTTTCTTTTGCTCGAGATAAAACATCATTGAGATCTTCTTCGTGATACTTTTTTCCATTGTACAGACCTTTGTACATTGAGTCCGTAAGATTCGCACCAATATCAATAAGTTGAAATGAAGCCATTATAAATCTTGAGCGCATTAGTTTTATGCAGTCAAAACATTTTTATAAACCCTATCTAAAATATAAAAACAGATATTTTGCTTTTGTTTTAAAAAGAATAAAGTAATAGCGCAATTTTGTATTTAAACCTGAGTTCAGTTTTGTTTTAAATTCCCCCTTCCCCCTCTCCCCATCAAAAAAAAAAAAAAAAAAAAAAACTTTAAATAGCTTTACACAAATATTGTGAATACGCAAACACATATTGTAGTCATTTATAAATTACATTACACTCTAAAGTAGAAGGAAAGGTAATTAGTGGTTTTGTGACTACACATACTTAAGAGTTGCGATGTTGTGACGAGGAGAGAGAGAGAGCAAAGAGATAGGGGGAGAAGGTTAGGGTGTCAAAAACGGTCTAAAATAGCCTGACGCAATTTATAAACGACCATATTTGTCCCAAACACTTTTTATTTAAGAAAATATTTGTTTGCATTACTTATTATCGGATTATCATTGAAAATATTACACCGAAAAATTCATTTTATTTTAAATTTGATACTAAAACGCTTTCAAAATTTACTGGAATGTATTATCATTTAACAACGCGCTGTGGATAAGTTGTTTTTAAGAAATATTTTAAAATCTTTAAATAAACTTACTTTTATATTACAACATTTTATAAGATAATATAAACACAAACACACATGTAAATAAACTTGACAAATTTACAATATATATATAGCATATTTTTATAAAACCGAATTCAAATACATTAAAAATGTCAACATTATAAACCCTAGGAAATTTCTAGAAATATTACAATAGCCTTATAATACTGTATATTACTGTAAGTAATATGTTAGAAAATTTTCTTCCTTATATATAAAAAATTATTTTTGTAAATTTTGGTTAAGACATGGTCCACTTGCTTTACCTGTTTTTTACAGACCTCAATTAAAAATAAAAATAATATTGAATTAATTAAATATTTATTATATATTTCAAAAGCCATTAGCTTTGTTTTTCTTCGGAAATTCTACGGAGAATAATTATATTATATTAAATGTTTAGATCAATTCTTTACAATTATTAGCAATAACATTATATCTTCATTCTATAGAACTATTTCAGAAGGCGTAGAGTTGAAGCGATTAGTAACAAAAGCGTGGCAGCTCATGCAAACCAAAACCTTTTCTTGATGAGCGGCTGGAGCTAAAATAGAATTGAAAATCACTTCTCATTCAATATAATTTGTCGTTAGTATTTAACATTATTTATCATTAATATAATTTTTCCAACATATTCTTTTATACCTGTTGCTCCAAGAAAAGATCTCGGTACGCTTTTATGGCAGCATTTAGCACAGAAACTTTTACCACAATGTCGACAATAACGCTACATAAAAATAGCAACAACACCACCAACAAAAAAAATTAGGTACATAAAAAAATATCAATAAAAGAACAATAAAACAAAGTACATAACCGCACAAACATTTTTGTAAAGAATTTGCAGTGGTTTTATATAGACACTTTGAACAGTTTATTGGAGTTTATTTAGTGGACCATTAGTGACATCCACTATAAGTAGCCAGTCATTGACTAACCACTTTTGATGGCTGTCACTAATAATTCTCTAGGTAACCAATGAGCTACAGTGGTATGTTTGGTATATTTTATTTTGCTTTTTTTTCTATTTAACCTAAATTTGTTTTTTAAATCTATTTGGATTGAGTAAGAATTCAGCATTCTCATAAACAATATAATATATATATATATATATATATATATATATATATAGCAATAATATTCAATTAAAATTATACTCTTTTGTTCAGTATGGAGGAACATGGTTGATAACAGCTTGAACAAGTTTCTAGAAAGAAAAAAAAAAGTCCATAGATTTAAAAAAACCGTTTTTTCTTATACTTGTTATTTATATAACTTAATGTTTTTTTAATAAACAAATTGTTAAAATTTTTTTTTTTTATTAAAATATGTTATATTACTGCACACATGCACAGTGATTAGGAATAACTTAAAATTAGGCAAAAAATTAATTTTTTTAAAATATTTATTCAAAACTGCTGAAAGCTTGCTTTATGATGAAAAAAAGATAGACAAGGAAAGAAGACTATAAATTTTTAAAATAGGGTCAATAATAGTCGGAGGGGGGAGGGGGAGGAAAGGGGTTGGAAGATTTTCTTTTTCTTGGTAAAAAAAAAGTAATTAAAATGAAAATTATACATTAATTCATTTCTATCAATCTAAATTCTGTCCTTAATAACTAAATAAAGATGATGTTTATTAAACTTTATGTTCGTTTTATACAAAAAGTGGAAGAAAAATGATATAAATATTTGCATGCATGCATAAATATATATATATATATATATATATATATATATATATATATATATATATATATATATATATATATATATATATATATATATATATATGTATATGTATATGTATATTTATATTATTTTTATTTTATTTATTTCAAAACAAGTATAAGGTCCATATAAATACAAGTTACATTGAAAAACCCATGTCCTCTCACGTTTATATTGAAAAATACAAAAAACGATTCTATGTACATATTGTAGTGTAAATGTAATTTAAACCAATGAAGGAGAGCTACATCAGGCTTCTCTATGTTGATCTAAATAAGCCGCATAAAGCAGCTGGTAAAGAAGGCTATAATACAAATTCTTTAAAGAAATGTACAGAAGGTCTATTTCAACTGTTTCCTGTAAAAGAGCATTCTAGTGTTTTGTTAATTTATTTGTAAAAAAAATTTTCTCATTCAATGCAAGCTTTGATTAGTTGAGGCAAAAGTCGCTGTTCGTGTCCACGGAGATTGTAATTTGTTGTTGAATTTAGTAGAGTTTGAGGGAAATAAAACTTGACTTCATCAATCTGGTAAGTAAATTTGAACAGTTGGATTAGGTCACCTATTTTCCTGTGATCCTCAAGTGATGTTAGTTTCGGCCTTTGTAACCATTTTCATACAGTATATGTTTTATCTCAGATATTGTTTTCTTTATACGTCTTTGTATTTTCTCTATCATGTTAGTGATATCGGTCTGTAATTTGATGGTTGAAGTTTACGGCCTTTTTTAAAAATTGGAGTAACTTTAATTTTTTTCCACAAATTCTAGACATCACCAGTGGATATCTTGTAGATTAGTGTGATTGGGATTTGAAAACAAAGCATATCCACTTTGCCAAACTCCTGTTAATTGATTGAAATTGTATTTTGGGATGTCCTGCCAGACCTTCTCCGCAACTAACACAAATAGTTTTTTATTAGAATAAATAAACTTTGTTGCTAAATATTTCAATTTTGTATTTAGTATATATATATATATATATATATATATATATATATATATATATATATATATATATATATATATATATATATTATATATATATATATATATATATATATATATATATATATATATATATATATTTATATATATATATATATATATATATATATATATATATATATATATATATATATATATATATATATATATATATATATATATATATATATATATATATATTTTGTTAAGATTACCATTCAAATTTTCAATAAGATTAAAATAATAGGAAAAAAATCATTTTGTATAACATAAAGTTATACAAAATCTTATTTTGTATAACTTTATGTTATACAAAATGATTAAATCTTATTACAAAGAAATAAATTGAAAAAATAGTATCATAATAAATTAATTAAAAAGAATACATGCAATTTTTTTTGCATTTGACTTATTACGTGGGTTCATCTCTCTGTTTAAAAATTTTATGAAATAAAAAATTCTTGTAATAAAAAACAGAACAATGTTTTTTTCCAAACAAAGCGTATGTTCTTCATGTTGATTGTGCAAAAACTGAAAATGACATTTTTTAATTCTTTAATCAGTCCATATATTTCAAGATAATTATTATTAAATTTCATAAAAGTTGTTTCCATTTCACAAACTAGTGACATAAAAGCTGATGAATTGTCAACTCAACTAAGAAAGATTTTACACACCTATGAAATAACTTAACTTTTCCAATAAGCCACCCAGTCATGTGTAAAAAGGGCTTTGCATTAAAATTTTTCCAGTAAACATATAAAAAGATCCTGGACAAAAATCAGATATTCCTTTAGGCATGATATTTTCTATTTCATTAATTCCACAATTAGTGTTTGTTTGATTACAACACTTCATAAAATCATTTAGATTAAAAGCTTTCTCAAAATTTGAGTCCTTTATACAGCTGCTATTGGATTTGCCTTTTTTCTACAGATAAAAGTAATAAAGCGTTTCTATAGGCACCTCAAAATTGTCTAACATTTGGACATTCATTCCAACCACTTTTGCTTTGAATGATGGAAAAAATTTTCAATGCAGTCCTGATTAAAATAAGATGTACAAACAAACTGTAAACCCTCAGAAAAAAACTCTCTACTTAAGGTTAGAATACTATTAATTGTACATGACATGATATACTTGTCTGAAATGATATACTTGCTTGATTTCTAATATTACAAAATTTCCAATTCTCAACCCAATACTTTAACTCTTCCAATTGAGAAATACTGGTTCCTAGGCTCCTTTTAAAGCTAGAGCACAACGAGCTGGTTTATCTGCATATAATTTATATGAATTCAATATATCGAATAAAGTATCCACGCGTTTAACAAATTTAACTGTTGGTAATACCACCTTAAAAGAATTAAATTTGTATTAGAGCAGAAATATATTGCTTTTTTGCTGGAACTGAATGACGCTCAACTGGTGGTTTTCACCAGTTGCAACCAAAAAGTGGAGGAGGATTTAGAATGTTACAAACAGTAAGAATTACTGATTGTAACAAATTTTTTTCACCATTATTTGTAGAATAATACATTATCTTTTCAAATTGATTACTGCACAAATTAAAGTTTTTGTTTAAAAATACAAAATCTTTCCTAAGACAGTTAATGACTCACTGTTTGCAATTTTAAGTTAAACAATAAAATATGTTTTAAAATAGTGCAATAATAATTTTAAAAACTTTTTGTGAAAAAAAAAGGCATTATACATGCTGTATGAATTAGCTTGCTTTTTTTCATCTTTAGGAAAATGAAAAAATGAAATATCTTTACAGTCTTTTTAACTCTTATTTCCACAGTTTACAGCAGCACAAAATTATGGCATTGTTATAACTAAGATTAAAATTCTTTTAGGTACATACAAAAAAAACTATTCCCTTCTTAACATTATAAAATTCCGAGGTCTGGCAGGACATGTCAGATGCTTTGCGATAAAAATTACAACAAGATATATGAAACTGTACATGACTGAATAGGCTTTGTTGCAAAAGATGTTGCACGTTTTAAGTACATCTGGATCTAATTTGTTGTAACACATGGTTTTATTATCAGATAAACTTTTAACATTTTTTTTTCTACTTCACGCTCATGAATGCTGCATTCATCAAGCTTGAAATATAGCTGGTGTACATAGATCAAAAAGTGGCATGGAGCCACTAAATCGAACGTGGGTTGATAGCTTTCGAAATCAGACATGCTAACCACTAGACCGTTGCGACCACCAAGAAAATTTAACTGTATAAAAATTGTAAAATATTTTATATTTAGAAAAAAAATTTTTTTAAATATCTCAGTGTAACAATTCAAAGATAATGGCAATAATTTGTTTTAACAAAAAATAACATTACCATGGAAAATTAAATTCTAATTCAAACTTTTGAAATGCATAAATTTATTAAATGAACAATAAATATAATTAAGGAGAATATATGAATTGCTAACTTGAAAAAGGGGACATGTTATGTGAATTTTTGCAGGACATGTCCCCTTTTTCAAATTAGCGATTCATATAAGTTCACTTAACTAAAGTTTTAAGTACTTTTTGTGGTTACAAGAAACATTTAAGAAAGTATGACATAAATTTAGACAGTTAAAACTTACATGTATCCAAGTTAGCATATTTTTTTCCTTGATTTTTCATACATAAATTGATTCAGAATCTCTTCTAGACTTTTTGTAACTTCGCTTTTGACGGACATTAATGCCATTAATCATCTTCATAATCTTCATTTTCACTGTTTTCTAGCTCATTTATGAAGTTCTGAATTTCTGATACAGCTAATTGGCGACCTTTATAAGTCATAATTTTTATGATTTTTTAAGTTAACATTTGGCCGAAAAAATGACTTGAAGTGATGTTTATAAACATATGGTCCGGACTGTCGCGGACCATATGTTTATAATTTTAAATCAGAAATGCAACAGAACATGTTTTTGAGATTTTGTGTAAAATATAGAGGTATATTTAAAAATGCCAAAAGACATACTTCGGATCAGCGAGAGAGTCAAAAGGCGCACTTCGGAGCGAAAAGGTTAAATCCAAACAAATCATCTTGAAACCATTTCAGTTCTTTTTAACCTGAAATTTTTTTTAATGAAATAAATATTTTGAAATTCTACTGTTATGTCAGAAAAGTTCTGATGGGCTAAAAAATTATTAAAAGCTAAAAATTAGGGGGCCCCCAAAATTTTGGGGGTCCTAGGCCTGGGCTTTATGTACCTTGTGGAAGATCAGGCCCTGGTAATAACACAGTGTGATTAACCTGTTTTTGTAAACCCTAACAGTTCATCTTCTGAGACTTCTATGAACCAATCTGGATCATCACTAATAATTAAGTCAAGTGTTGATGATGGTTCAACAAGATTTGAATGACGTTAGGTTGGAGACATTATTGGCTGTGTTAAGTTATAACCCTCTAAACAAGATTGGAACCTAAAATCTTGGGGCATTCCTCTATCACATGTCCAACGGTTGTAACTTTACCATTTATTTCAATAGACTCATAGCATGTGTGGCTTAAATTGAAATCATTATACAATAACATAGAGGAGCAGTTGCTAGTTAACATAGCCTGTTTAGTCGCTGTAACCGATTCGATTGTTAGAGTTGGGACAATAGTAACAACAACTCTCCATTAAATCTGATTATACACCATACTTGCTCAATAGATTTACAACTAAGTTGCTTATTTCTAACTTCTATTGTAATTATATCACTTCTAGAGTATATAGCTACAACTCCTCTGCTATCTCTATCTGCTTGATGCAGTTCATATCTTTTTAAAACTGTGTCAGATGTATTATTATACCGTCTCTGCAAAAAACATTATGAGGTCTTACATGCATTGTTTTGGATGCTATTCTAGCTATAAGCTCTCCTTTTTTAAAATTGTTTAATAAACATATCCTGATATTGATGAAGACAATGTTGATGATTGTGAAGACAACTGCTAGAAGTTGGATTTTGACTTTGATTTCAATATGACCTCAGTGGCTATTGAGTGTAATTGTTGCTGATTTAAAAACACACTGTTTATTTCTGGTTGATTCAATAACGCTATTTCAATTTCACCAGTGGGGCGATGGTAAAATTGAAATAGCGTTATTGAATCAACGATATATATATATATATATATATATATATATATATATATATATATATATATATATACATGTATATATATATATATGTTGGGGCAGCTAACATTTTTTTGTTTCTTATAGAATGACAAAAACTCTCTTTAAAAAAATAATAAAAAAATAATGGTAAAAAATCCACTATAAAAGCTCTATAAAAATCAGTTTAAACGTTAAAATTGCACTTTTTCAATGACTTTTCTATTTGTTTGTTTAATTTACACCTGATAACAATCTGTTGTGCATTTCTTACAAGATGTATAAATATATATTCAAATATTTTTATAAAATAAGATAATAATCTATTATCATTGTAAATAATGAAAATTAAAATGAAAGGTTGTATATTTAGGGAGAAAATTAAGTTTTAATAATGATAAAAGTTTTAATGACAAGAAAAGCTTTTCTCGGTCACTTAAACATAGATTAACATTTTAATCTATTATTTCAATTTTTTTATTTTTATTTTATACTTTAGAATCATAAGAAACTGTAGAAAATGGTTAGCTAATAACATTATTTAAATTGCACTACTCAAAAAACTGTATTTTGGCCAAATTTAAAGTGTTTCTAAATCACAGTGACATGAAATATCTTTTCATGATTTTTTTAAATTTGAATTCACCTTCACCAGGCCCTAAAGGTCATTACAGCCAAGAAGGCTACTTAAGTTGTGGCTAAAATCCTCTCTTAACTATAACTCCAAAACAAGAACCTTGATGAACAAGGCCGCTGGGGTGGAGAAACAAGTTGAGCGCAATACTACCAGGAACGTGGTGGGGATCGAACTTGTAATTTCTTGCTTATGAAGCAAGCGCTTTACCACTACACCACTTTCACATTATAAATTGTTATATATCAAACATTTAAATCTGTACTTTAAGCCACAAAAAATCAAATAAAAATGATTTCAAATACTTGTAAACTCTTGTAACCTGCAATCTTATTTCTTCGATGAAGAGGACGCAAAAAAAACTTTGACATTACAAACGTTCCTAAAAGAGAATAATAGTAATTAAATAAATATTTTTTGACAAGTTTATTTTATATATATATATATATATATATATATATATATATATATATATATATATATATATATATATATATATATATATATATATATATATATATATATATATATATAAATTTATAAGTGCTCTGTTCTTTTTAAGAACATTGAGCACTCTATTTGTAGAATACATTTTTAAAATTGTTTAAACACACATATATATATATATATATATACATATTTTATGATTTTTGGAATTAAGTTTTTAAAATTTTTAAAAATCAAAATTTATTTAAAGCAATAGATAGCTCTTGAATTGAATGTGCATTTGGAATAGGCCCTGGTTTAAAAAATGAATAGTGGTAAATTCATTGTGTCTTGTTACGGCTTGAATATAATACATAACAAACCCAGCTCTGTATAATCATTCCTGCCATATTTTTTACTTTTAATAACTGGCCCATTAGGCTTGTACTTTTCAATTAAAATATGATAGCTACAAATCAACTCAATAATGAACCAGTAATTATTATTAGGCAATATTAATAAGGATTCAAACTTTGAGTTCATAAAGTGCTTAAGAATCAGGTTGAGGACATAAATTCAACAAGGACACAGTAGCCAGAAAGGTTTCAAAATGCGAATTAATTAAAACTAATAAAGTTATGCACAAAAAATGCATTATTTAATATTTTTAGATATTTTTATTGACCATAATCAAACAAAATAATGGTAAAATAGTTATTGAAAATGACATTTATTTGACAAAATAATTTATTTTAGAACTTAAAAACTCTCACAAAAATTTAACAAATCTAACTTTTTAATATGTTTGAACTTTAGCAAAAAGACTACAAAAATATTATTTTTTGTAATTCAAAAGCTCATACAGAAAATTAAACAGATGAAAATTATTTCAAATATTTGAAATTTGGCAAAAAAGATCACAAATATTTTTTTCAAAAACTCAAAAACTCGCACAGCAAATTTAATAAAACTAAATTATTTCTAATATCTGAAATTAGGCAAAAAAAGGCCACTAAAACTTATTAACTCACTTTTTTTCAAAATCAACACAATTGAGATGAATTATGCATTATTATGCATCACTAGCATCATTGCAAAAGGCTTAAAACACTTGGAGAAAACTATCTTTTTTGTTAGGGTCTCTGATGCTTAGTAGCGTGAGTTTCTTGAATGGATGGGTCACTCACATGCATCAGCCTGTAAAATAAATCATCTATTCCTTCCTTCCATGATGACTTTCGTGAATGATGAAGGCAAAAATTTATGACAAACTTATTGTTAGCCTTTGAGGCTTCTTTGCTTGTCAAACCAATGGGCAATGGACAATGCTCAATCAAGTCTTTGCCATGCTTCAATATTTTATGAAGAGTTGGAGACATATGATACCAACCAACTCCATTTTCTTGGTTGAAGTAGATCTTTTCAGTTTCTTGGAACAAGTTTTGAAATTTTAATGAATCTATAGGAAGTCCTGATGCAAAAGCTCCTCATAATATGGAAATGTTTTCAACAAGCTGAACTGGCACATTGCATATTTGTGAAGTGATACCAGGATTGTCGAAAGCTTTCCTGACAACATCATCAGTTGTAGTTGTGCCAGCTTTACCATTTCTTTGTTTGTCAATGATGATCCCTAGATTTTGTCCTCAAAATCAGAGAGCCTTTTGCAACACTTTTTTACATCTTGGCGGTATCTAATGTGATAAACTGCCTCAAATAATCATAGTCCAAAGTGTAGTATTGGTGCGCCAAACTGAAGGGTGTCCTTTTTTGGTAGGAATTCACCATCTGGTTTTGCAATAGCTTTGAATGTCTTGTGACAAATGACAAATGAAGATGAGGCTGGACACTTTGTAAGTTGTTGCAACACTTTGCCATCAATCATGGTAAGGAGTCCATGATATGAAACCTCAATCCTTGGTCACTTATGATTAAAAGCTGTAGATCAACAACTTCTTTTTGCAAACAGCCTCTTTTTGAATAGCTTCCTTTGTTTCTCTTTCGTATGAAATTCGAATTGGTCTGCAAGACAGGTTAATTTGAAAAGTTGTTATGATAGATGACAACATTGGTGCAATTTGCATCAATAATCTAAATGGGTACCAGTTGTGAGTGGTTTGATCCAGTACCTTTTGAATTGGGATCCAAGTTGAATGTTCTTCAATTTGAAAACCATCAACACAGCATATTTTTTTTAGCCTCAACTACCAAATTATAGTTTGGCCAAATATTGCCATTACTCTCTGTGCAGGCATTTTTCATTGAGTTGTATTGATCTTTGGTCATATCATTCAACAAGAGAAAAGCCAAAGCTTTCATTGGAGTTTTTTTCTGAATTTCAGGTTTCTCTGAAGTAATTGCTTTTATTGCCTTTAAGACCTTTTCATCAGTTTCACCTATAGACATTTTGATTAACTTTCCCATGAAATTTTGTTGTTGAGAGGCAGCTTTGGTGATAGCTTCTGGCTCATGTTCTTGCCTTATATTTGCACTAGCAATTTTTTTTGCTCTGACTAATTTCTCTTGGAATGGAAGCTCCTTTCCTCCAGCCTTTTTTTCTTATGGAGAACATTTTTTTAAAGCATCTTTTTCTTGTGAGCATTTACAAGCAGCAACCTCAATGAAAGTGTTGGACAAAAAAACTGCATTTGATGTTGAAGAACTTTTCAAAGGAATGTTTCTTATACCTCGAAATAGCATGTGAGAGCAATCTCAAGGTATTCAATCAAAAGATATTTAATTTGCTTTGTATAATCTCAACATTTTCTGTTTCTGAACAAAGGAAGCACTGTATGTGATCTGTAAGAAGTTGGAGCTGGCTTTGGCAATCTGTGAATGGAGCATCATTTTCCTTCATCTCTGTTCATAAGTCTCCATTTGTGATTGGAAAATCCACATTTGGGTCATCATCCATATTAACTTGTGCCCTAAAATAATTTTCCCTCTTTTAATGTTACTTATATTTTCAGCTAATTTTGTAAGGATTTGGTATTTTTAACTTTTATACTTTACTGAAAAGATTGAAATTCTCTTCTTTTATAAAATAATAAATTCACTTACCTTAGGTGATCCAGTATTCATAAGCTGATGATGCTATTTTTGCAAAATTTATTTTAAAACTTCAAATAATAATTATTTCAAAACGAAAAACTATTTTGCAAATCAGAGCTTTGGAGCAGTTCCGAAGCTGGATCTATCCGGAGCTGGTGATTTTATATGGAGCTGAGTCGAAGCTGGAGCTAAAATATTTCCTGCCGGAGCTGGCTCCGGAGCCAACTCCAAGCGAGCTCCACCCTTTTGATAATTTGAAATATCATATTTCCATAAATTTATTATTTTATATAATGAAATTTTTTTTTAGAATTTAAATAATTACGCTCATTAAAATAATTATAAGTTCTAAATAATGCATTTTTTCATAATATTTATAAAAAAAACTAAAAAAAAAACTTCAGAATTTATTTTTTATCCAATTATTTTGTGTAAGATGTCATGTGATGTTCTTATTGCAGAGTATGATAAGTGTACCTTATGTATGATCCTTTATGTGCGTACTTTATGGACGATCGTTAACAAAAAAATACTTTATCTATGTGTTAAGTCACATGATTTGTCTTAACATTTTTAATTAATTGAAACATTTTTAAAATAGACATAAACATGAGTTCCAAATAAAATTATAAAAAGATTTAAACGTTTTTTTTGTTGTTGTTGATATTATTTGTATTATTTTTGTTTATACAATCTTTTTTATTATTTCTCTTATCTTTAAAATTTATCATTTACTTTATTATCATAGTTTTTTTATAAAAATAGCTTCAAACTCAAACGATCCTGAGAGGTTTCTAATAAGTATTTTTCAATTGATAAAACTACAAAACTAGTTACATGTAAGATTACAGAAAAGTTAAATGATAAAGTGATTTTATGCGCTATGCAAATAAAAAAATCAAAAGTTTACAATATATGAAATGGCATTTGGAAAAATCACATCCATCAGAATAATGTTTAATCTGAAATGAACCTTATGGCCCAAAGAAAATCTTCAAAATTATTTTACCATATTCACAAGACTTCAATACTAAAAAAATTAAACAGATTACTTTAGATTCTTTTGTTACTGCTAGTAGTTGAACAATAAATCAAGCTAGTGCTAAAACTTTTAAAATTGAAATTATTAAAATGGTAGTTAATAACAGAGTTTAGTTGAAAACATTTGCGGATGAAAGATTTCAGTTGGTTACAGGCCAATTATGTAAAACTCTTGGATTCAGTACCGGACACAATTCTGTACACAATTTGATTAATAAATTTGCTGAAAAAAATATAAGCTGAAATAAAGGAAATATTGTTAATTTTGAAGAAATTTATTTATGTTAAAATAGATGCAGCCACTCGACACCAAAATAACTATTTAAAGATAAATATTCAATATTATTATGTGAAAAAAATTTAAAATTTTTGGCACTGATAGATACACAAGAACAGCACAACCCTATCTCTATAAAAAAAAGGAAGGAAGATACTCCATATAGATTTAGTATCAGCAATGTTCAAATAGTATGTGCAAGTGTAGACAATGCAGCCAATATGATTAGTGCAATCACAATTTTAAACAAACTTTCAGGTGATAAAAATTTATGAGATAAAGGTTAGCATGATTAAGAAAAAGTGGAATTTTTAAAACAGGATACAAATGAAGAAGAAAGTGAAGGAACTCAGGAAGAAAATCTAGCCTTTATCAACCCAGAATGGTGTTAACCAGAATAATGTCAACAATTGTCTAATGATATCAAGCTGATGCGCTGTGTTATGCACACTTTGCAGCTAGCTATTCGTATGGTTTAAAAAAAACATGTATTGCCAAACTTTTGTCAAAAGTCTGTTATATTGTAAAGAAACTAAGAAACTTACAATATTTTTAACAAGAAAGCAATACAAGGTCTATTTTTTTTC